TCATCTTGAATCCGGTTTTTCTGGTGTCTGGTTTTGAGATTCTTGTAAATTTGGCAGCCTTTGTAGTTGGCCGGGTGCCCCTCCAAGCATAGGGCACATACTGCTGGATCTTGTATAGGTTTGGTGCACTCTACAGATTTGTGCTGTTCACCGCACTTCACGCAACGCGGCAGATGGTGGCAATATGTCTTCGTGTGGCCATAGGTCTGACAATTATGGCACTGCACGATGTCTCTCTTGGGATATGGCTTCTCAACTTTCACCATTGTGTAGTATATTCTTGTGATATCATATATTTTTTCGATACCTGGTGATGGCTCCAAGTCCACGAAAAACAATGGTAGTGGGATCCTATTTCGTAATCCTGGCTGCTCCCTGTCCTCCTTCAAAACGTTTGTTACCTGGCGTACATTGAAACCAAGCGTCGTTAGTTCTTCTTTAATAACTTCAGTGGGGGTTGAGGAATGTAAATTTCTTATCACTACTCGTAAAGCTCTTTCCTGCCTCAGCTGGTAAGTGTGAAAATTCGCATTTGTTTCTGATAAGTACTTCACTATTTTTCGGTAGGCTTCTGCAGAATCAGGTGTTATTTTGGTGTCATTGGTCCTGTTAAGGCATGAATAACTGCCAGAGCAGATTTTATTTAGTTGGGTGCAGAACATCTGGAAATTTTTTATATTTTTCACAAATATCGGAGGAGGCTTTGGTTCTCTGGGTATTGCTGCAGACTCCATTACTTCTCTGTCATTTTGAAGCACTTGGTAGGGGTTTGGAGTAAAGAAAGGTGATTCTTCAATCGTTTCTTGTGCAGACGTACCTGGTTGGGGCTGAGGTTCTGGTTCTGAAGTGTTCATTTTGGTCACTGGAGGTATTTCTCGTAGGCAGCGACGAGTCCTTTGTTTGGCTGGTGAGCTAACTCCGTCTGACCGAGACCTCTTGGGCACCTTACTGGCCATCACTTGCTGATCATACCGCATATCATAAGAGAAAAATAAATAAATAAATAAATAAAAAAATAAAAAAAATAAAAAAATATTTTTTTTTTTTCTTAAAATAACAAAAAAAAAAGATGTCAACAGTAAATATCAACTGCTCTGATATACACTTTAACTGTATCACGTGAATAATCAGAGAGATTCCGCTATAAAATTGGTAAAAACTGAGAGAGGAGTTGAGGAGACAACCTTCTCATCAGCTGATCCACTGCCTTCAGATCTTGTAATAAAAATATTTTGTAGCTAATGGAAAAGGTGAGGAAGTTATACTGACCTTACTTAGCAGACTTTTTTTTTTTCTACGATTTTATCCCTGAAAAGGACAGATACAAAGATATTTGAACCCTGGACTCAAGAATCAAACTTGGACATTATTCAAAGAAATATTTGTTTTTTAATATGTTTTTTGTTAAATATATATTATTCGTTATCTAAAAGAGTAACTGGCAAAAATAAACGAGTTAATTATTCCTGAGTATTTTATAAAAAACGTTGTTGATAATGTGACCTATGTTACGAATAAAGAACAACATTTGACATAAACTGCTCAAAAATGAATAGGAATATTGATAGTTATGCATGATTTACTTTCTCTAGAATTTTTATTTTATTTTTATGCATTCAAATTTAATATTAAAATATTAAAAATTATTATTATTAATTATATTATTAAAAATTATTATTAAAAATTAATATTAAAATTAATATTGAATTTTAAAAAAATTAATATAAACTAGTAGGCCTGTGCGATAAATTCGCATAGCATATTGTTATCAAATGCCAAATTAAAAATAAAATAATGCAAAGTATCAAAAGACAAAGAAATCAATTGTTACATTATCGATAAATATAATCGACAAAGGAAACAAAAATTAATTTAAATCTTTATTGATGTTTGGAACCAACTTGTTTACAAAATTCAATAAGCTGTGTCTTTGCTAAAATTGTCCGATTTAGATGATTTTTTTAATATCTTTAATATAATCATGGGCATAACCAAAGGAAAAGTGTTTTTTTCTTTTTTTTTTTTTTTTTTAGTTATTCGCAAATAAAGTTTCTTTTCTTTCATAACTTGTTTGAATTTTCGGGGTGATTGGACTATTTTGCCCGGATGAAGGAGAAGGAAGCCTTGTAAAATTTAATGATCTGTGTAATATCCTATGTTACCTCTGCACCTATTGATATTGTTTATAGTGTGGTCGCTGGACTCTACAATATGGAGTAGAGTCCTTCCTCCTGAGAAGATGGCGGCCCAAACTATCAGCTTCAGGCAACATTGAAGGGATTACAAACTGTGGCAGTGTATCCATCCTCTGTTCTCGGTAGACTCTTCGGCGCCTACCATCGCTCTAAATATTGAAACGGGACTCGTCTGTAAACATAACTGCATTCCAATTGTATCCTCATCTGAACACGCACCGCAATAATCGGAACAATTACCGACGACTGTTGCTGAAGATCGGATTAAAGGTGCAGAAGATGGTAGACCAACTTCCCACAAAAGATTAAAAATGGTTTGTGTTGATATTGGTCTTGGCAGAACATTTGACAATTCGTTTAGGCTCTTTCGGGCACTATGAAAATGGTTGCTTCTGCAGTAAAGTCAATATTTATGTCATCTATGGGTGTCCCAATGCGCTGAGATCCGCTAACATGTATTGGTACTTCCGGTTCCTCTGAATCTGACTAAAGCCCGCGGGGAGAGAGGGCACACTCAGAGAGACGCCAACTGCTTAGGTGATGTCCACTTGCATCTGCCCTTGACCGCTCATTCTCACGATAATATTGCTAACCTCTGGTTCAATATCATGATTTTCCATCGTCAAACAGAATATTACTGGATTGAAATTGAGAAAAGCCGATAGCAACTGTTGGTTTACACAAAGAATATTCTTCATTTTGAATATCATTTAGTTAATAATTTATAAACATAAACAATACTTGTTGTTTACTTTTAATATTTACGAATAAGTAAGAAAATTCTTAACAACAAACAAAAAGTATTAATTAATTAATTATTAAAATAAATTAAATAAGAATCAATCAGAAGTATCTCTATTCATTTTTGAGCGATTTAGAATAAGATTTCTTTTAAAATATTACGTTTAATTTGTCCTCCGTCACACAAAATTTTTTCACTCACTGAGACCAATATACATTTCCATTGAAAACTTATATCGATCCCAATGCCACCCCTTACCACATATTGAAAATTGAGAAAAGTAAAAAGTAAAAAAAAAAGTTGTACCAAGTTAACCTCTTTACAGAGGCATAAAGAATCTGAATCAACACTTATGAGAAACTTTACTCAACACTTATGCCATGGTACCGTTTTGCATCCAGTTTTCCATGTATTCACAAGAAGTCTCAAATTCCAGATCAAGAAACCATCAAGAAGCAACCTCAGTAGCAATATCAGTAGCTAAGTTAAGATTGGTTACGTCCCAATGCAAAAGTTTTCTTGTGCGTTGATAAGTAAGCCGGTAAGCCGATTTCAAGGGAAAAGTTGCTGTAACATCCCAGGAATGTGTCTAACTTTAATATGTAATTTCAGTTTCGTGTGGCTTTTAGTTTTTGAGCTAGGCTGTTCACATACACATGGACACACACAGACCATTCTGTGGGACTTGGTTATTTAGACCCAGGAGACCGCTAAACGTGCATTTCGGTTGAAAACTAAAATTCGAAATTTTCCACGATCGCAATACTTTCTCTTAGTAAAGGTACCTATTATTGATATTTTATCGATTATTGACACTTGTAACTTAAATTTGATAAAATAAGCGTTTAGATTCATTTAGGATTTCAAACGGCATCCTTTCAAAGGCTGATTAATGTGCTATGAAACTAAACGCTTATTTGATCAAATTTAAGTTACAGATGTCAATAATTGGTAATAAGTCAATATAGCCTTTTTTTTCAGATCCCCATTTTCATTGATGTTTTGTTTCTCCTAATGATGTTCCTTGTGCTGTATCTCAGATACATTATAAGGTCTTTCGGAGCAATTCCTCAGTTCTGTTAATCTATATTTTTTTATTGCTGATCAGGGTTTTGAGACTCTCCTCTATCTTGATAAATAGGTGCTTTTTTTTTTTTTTTTTTTTTTTTCCATAGTCCCTTTCTACTTATTTTTGTCTTTAATCCTTGGATTGTCTTAATAATACTCCTTTTACTGCTTAAAAGCATTGTAAGATTCATTTTTAGATTTTTGTCGTTTCTAAATAGTTCATTCTTCATCTGTAATATAAAAGGTGATGGGGCTCACCTTAGGCTTGAGTCGACCTTATCCTCTAGAGCTTAAAACTAAATTAATAAAACATCTATCATGTGATTTGTTGCCAACGTTTTGGAATTTTGGCTGGTAACAAATTGTTAAAAAGAGGGTTTGCTAATTGTTGGGATTTTTGAAAAATGATTTTTTTCGTTTTGCGAAAAAGGTGCCTTTAATCTATATGTTATACATATAGGTAAGTGAAAGTAATAACTAGAAAGAGAATAACATAATTTATATTTTCATGTTCTTACTGGATCATAGATATATTCTAGTATTATGGTTAATTATAAAGCTTAAAATATGAAATTTTCCTAATATTATAAAAGACACATCTTCCTTAATAATCTTGTTTGAAACATGGAATTTACCTTAAATGGACATAATATCAATAGAGCTTAGTTTCGTTTCGACGATTAAGTCTATCCATCATTTTGATATTAATAGCTTGTAGTAGGTTCATTCAAGCTAACTTTTTATGACAATTAATGAGTTGTAATTATTTAAATATTTAAAAAAAAAATTGAAACGTGAAAAAATTGATGCTGATTAAGTATTTTACCATAAATACATATTTAATTCTTTAAATCTTTTTATTTTTTATTTGGTTGAAATATTTTCTTATAAGCTCTGTGCCCAATCGTGCCGCATCGGTTGCATTGCCACTATCTACGCTACTGATACATGTCTTGAATTGTATTTACGACTCTGAACAGATACCTCGGTGGGATGTTAAACTAGTACCATCTACTTTACATGTATATATTTATTATCATTATTTCGTTTTAAGATTTTAATGAAACAGATGTTTCAGAGCGATCCTCGAAACCACGACTGGCTACTGTTGGCCCATTACCATGATCCCCTTGGAGGGGCGAACAGTGGGGCAGGTTATAGGAGCGCGCGCGGCAGTGGTCGATATGCTGGCACTCAGTTGAGTTCGGGATGTGGTACCTCTACGTGATAGTCTTCCTATGGGTCCTAGTCGTCCTCCAGTCCTCCGTAGACGTCAACTACTTCCTCAGGATGGGCTTCACCTATGTCAAGGCCAGGTACTTCAAGAAGAGGGTACACATCTTATCCAGCACCAAGATCACAGGTCAGGGCATTTCCAAATCAGTTCTACCAATAGCTTTATAATTCAGTGATAACATGCCCCTTAAACGAAAGAGATTAAAAGCAATATATGAAAACCTGAGGTAATATTTGTTATTAGCTAATTTCAAAAGAAAAAAAACCTTAACGATTCTACAAAATGCCAATTTTTCCAAAATCACTGAATTACAGAGTATTTTTATTTTATTTATAATTATATAATATATATCAATAATCTAAGAAAGTATTCAGTTGAAATTAAATGCAAAACTCACTTTAACAATTTAAACGAAATTTTAAATTGATTAGTTTATCCTCTTTGACATTTCCTGGTTAATTTTTATTTCTTCTTCATTCCTTTTCATTTGGATAATTTCAAGAAAAAAATACACTTGTAACTTATTTTTTTTTTAAATTTCTACTTGGATGTTTACCATAAATTACTGATATTTTTTCTTTTAAATTCGGCCCATTGAGAATGATGAGAGCATGATTATTTACATAGAGCTGAAAAGCGATTTACGTACCTAAGCTTTACTTCCACAACTTGCTGGTCTCGTCAGTCCATCAGTCCATGATTTCTATGCCTCACTTAAAACACTCTTGTTTTATTCTCTTAAATACTAAAATGAGATTTGATCAAAAAAGTATTTTAATTGCTGTAATTTAGTATCACCTGTCTTGTAATATGTCATTATATTTATTACTTTTTTAAATATAGGTTTAAATTCAAAATTAACAATAAAAGAAATTCAGTTGGTCAACTTATCAAATTCACTTGAAATCTGTTTAGATTTATTAGGTAATTTTAATTGTTATAACTGAATAATTGTAGTTTAAATCTAAAAAAAAAATAATTAATTTCAATCGTCAGGAACGTTTTGTTTCATTTTAAATCATATCGTTCATTAAAATAATTAATTATAATATATATATATATATATATATTTTTTATATATAAATATATATATATATATATATATATATATATATATATATATATATATATATATATATATATATATTGCACAAATTTTGTTGTACAGTTGACCTGTGAAAAAAAGTTATGCGTCATTAAAAATTTTTGACTAAGGAAATTTTAAAGTAAAAATCGTATTTATTATTGTTTTTGATAATACGATGGTTGATTGCATGTTTTAAATAGCGAAATAGCCAAAACATGATCCAATATTTTAAATTAAAAATAATTGTTGAAACAAAATATTAAAACTAAATTTGAATGAAAGAAAATAAATTTCGAACGAGTTCTGTTGTTTTCATATGCTAATCAACTTCATAGTTATGGGTGGTTTGGGATTGGGGGTCTAGATGTTTTAGTTTTTACTGGAATTTAAAAAGAAAATAATTAATTTATCTGTTTGCTTTTATAATGTCTTACTAACTTACTTAATCCTTAATGTTTTAAATGTATTAATACAATTAATGTTCGAGACATTTTTTTGGAAACCACTAAAAGCTTGTTTGTATTTCCAATTAATGCACTTGTCTGTTGTTTTCAATTAATATTGAAGCGAACTTGACGAAAAGACGTGGTGACATGTTTCTATGTCTGATAACTGATCTTTAAATATTTATTAGTTATTTTAATAGCAGCCGCTATTAATAAGATGAGCATGCTCCAATAATTATTATCCATTTATAGAAATAAAAAATTATTATTACGTGTAAAATCTTGAAACAGACCAATAGATGTAAACTGATCACAATCAGCTGTAGTTTTCTGAAATAATTAATAGAAATACAGCATTGAAATATTGTCGCAACTTCATCATTGATAAGCCTTCTTCCATTGATTCGTAAATGTGATAAAAGATCACTTCATATGTGTTTGATGCTATATCGAATAAAAAATAAAAATTCACTTGAAAAATTAGTATTTTTAATAAAACTTAACGCATAACTTTCAGTTTTTAAAGTTAATAAAATTTTAAAAACAGATTTTAATATGAAAATAAGGCGTTGAGCAGAAAATTGCTTTATATATATATATATTATATATTATTATTATATATATATATATATATATATATTTTTTTTTTTTTTTTTTTTCCCTACTTGGTAACCCCACACAAGGATCGTTTATTTGATTTTCCTTCATGCTCCATGCCTTAAAGACATACTACATGAATTACATTTGTTTACAATTGTTTTTTTTTCTAGTTTCACATGATTTACATTTTTAGTTCAAATTTATATACTATATATATATATATATATATATATATATATATATATATATATATAGGGATAAGTTAGGAATTGGAAAACAGATAATCAAGTAGGTATGAATTTTATCAAATTTTATCCACTACTCCTAAAAAAAATACTTTTGCTTTCGGATCAGTAAACGTATTATTTGAAAAGCCTATAGTTAGAAAACTGCGTTTTCAATTTGACCCAAACTTGGAGGAATTTTGGAGAATAGAAATTACCTTGTATTAATTTCATTCAATTCCATGTAATAATTCAAATTAATATAAATAATTGTTAACAATATAATGGCAGTGAAATGTGAAAGGTACTTATATGTAGTGGAAGTAAGGTTAAGACGATATTTTTATAGGGTTATAAAATTTTAGGTTTTATTCAAAGAGTTAATTTATTATACTGTATTGTTTCGTAGATTCCAAACGTTAATGGCATGACACTTATGCAGTTACTTAGATTTCGTGTAATTTTCAATAAATTTAAATTAATTTTTACTCTGAGTTTGTAAAACAGAATAATCTTATTTGTGATTATGTTTACTTCTATTGAAGTTCAACTAGCTCGTCGTGGTATCGAGTTTCTGTGTGATTTTTAAATTCCAGCTTAAATAGTTTTGTTCTGACTGAAGAAAATTATTGGTCCCATTAACTCCGAAAAAAACGGGATTAGTTAGTTATGGATGTTTAGTTATGGATAATTAGTTTCCCTTATGGATGTTTCGTACTATCCATTTTTGGAGAAAACATGCCGATTAAGTACATATTACTACTGTTAGTGCAAAAAGCCGTATGTAAACATTTTCAACTTTTGATTCTATTTGTGCTAAAGGTGAAATTTTGTATTCTGCAACTGATATAAGCATTCTGCTACGGTGAAAAATAGCAGAGGACAATAAATTATGAAATTATACTAATAAATCATAAGGAAACAATTAGTTTTTGTGCTTTCCTATAAAACACTCAATGTTTACATACGACCTTTTGCACTAACAGTAGTGATATTCATGTTCAGTAGGCACTGGATTTTTTTTAAAATTCCAAATCAGCAAATATGAAATCTACTTTTTCGCATTTTAGAATTCACTGATGAACAAAACTCGTGGATATCAAACCCGCATATGTTGAGGGATTGCTTAATTTCCGAAAACGGCTTTTTCCAAAGATTTTATTTTCACGTGAAAAATTTTAGATCTTATAATATAGATATTTTAAGGCCAATGCTAACGGTGAGAAAGCTATACTGACTTTACATGACAGACTTTTTTTTTTTTTTTTTTCTTTAAGTAATTTATTCTATTTTATCTTTTAGTGCTAGTTTTGTAGAAAATCTTATCCTGCATCACTCTTCATGTGACTGCTGCTTATGGTTAACACATATTCGTCCGGTAATTATTTGCACCACTATTTACAAAATGCCGGCATCTAAAATTAGAAAAGGTAAAAATTAGAATTTAATTTATTTAGAATTAAACGAACAAGAATCAATTAAAGTCAGGCTAGAGATAAACTAATTGTAATTTACTGACGTTGATGTCTTCGAAGTTTTACGCCTTAAAGTCCCAACATACAAATAAGAATCAATTATTTTATGTGATATATGTTGGTGATTGAGAAATGACGATTTTTTATCATGCCGACGAATATGTCTTAATTATTGCTGAACCGCATTCCTTATAACTCCTCCCACTCCATTTCCACTATCTTAGGTCTATCCAAAGATTTAATGCCTATTTAAAACTGCATAAATTATCTTTCCTGTAATAATATCATGCCTAAATATAGAATGGTTTTGTCCATCGTGCATTTTTATATTTTGATTCACCGGGGAGAGCCCAAACACAATACAAGTACGTCCTGCAGAAAGGATACTCTGTAGCAACCTTCCGCCTCCATCATGAAACCATCACTATGATACCACAAGATTGCATAGCCTGTATTGAGAAACGTGAGCCAAGAACCCTCAAATTCATTCTATTCGTTGTACTTACGATTTATAATCAAAACATAATGATACCATAACATAGCGTTGTTGTCTTATACTGAAGTAATTATAAACATTAAATTAACTATTAACCTCATTCAATATTTTAAATTTCAGTATTTCCTAGGTAGCAGATATGTAACAAAACTTTTAATATAATACAGAATTTTAAAATAGAATTCTTGGATTGCATTTAAAGCCCGAAAATAGTTTTTCTTTATATAAGTGGATATCCATATCTTTCATTGAAGAGTGGATTTCAGGATCAGTTTTCAGAAGTAAAATAACAAAAATTACCACCCTCCTCTGAAAAGAAATGCCTTAATGGAGAGTATGCGTTCTTCAGAGATTTTTGTGAAACAACTTTTGGAAGATAGGTTTGCTTTTAAAGCTGCCATTTTCAAATTTTGACATATACCCATCCGCTAAGAACTTTTTTTTAGAAGCTTATACATTTTTTGACTAAGGATAACTAATCTACTAATCTTCATGATGTCAAATTTTCTGCGAGTATCAGTGTTGTTTAAGTTTTTCCTTTCTATAAATTCTCGTTTAATAAAGTCACAAATTATTTCATGCAAGCAAATTCGGCAAATTTCCCAAATGTTATTCATATGCATGATTGGCAATTTCTAAAACTGGCGATTCTTGCATCCCCTAGTCAAAATAAAGAAAGCTACTGCTGAGGAGTGTGTATATATATTCTCTTAATGCTAAATATAATGCATGATAAATCGTTACAACATTACAGTTATTTCTTAATCAAATATGCCTCCTTCCAACACTCCTTTATTG